GTTTATAGTGGCATTTTAAAAACGCCGTCTTATCTTTTTTTTTTTCTTTTTTTTTTTGGTTTTGAAATTGTGCTAATTTTATGTGATTGAACTAAAAGAACACCAATAATAAAACTAAATAACACTAATATGAAATAATAACTCACATTCAAATAACAAATATAGCATTAATTCACTTTCCCATTCAATTTAATATAGCATTAATTTTCCCACAAAATAACATATTCAAAAATTGAATTCACAATTCTCAATCAAAAAATTACTACCTTATATACAAAGCCACAAAATAACATTACCCTCCTCTCTCTCTCACCATTCCCCCATTTAATACAAAAAATAAGAAGTGAACCAAAACACCCACTGTCAGATCCAAGGAAAAAAAGAAAAAATAAGAAAAAATAAAAAACCAAAGGATTTTAACACAAAAAATCTGAAAAAATTGCTGGCCCTTTGGCAACTAATTCAGAAGTTGTGGTTGGATCCGATGACAATTTGGTAAACAACTTCTTCACTTGCTCAACAAGGTCCTCATGCTTCACAGCTCCAGAAGCACCAATTACCTAGAATAGTAGCTCCAGGTAGAACACCCAATGTTTAGGACTTCAAGAAAGTAAATTGACGGCATTGAATAATTGATAGATGAATGAAGGTGAAGCCAACATGTTAACTAAATAGAACTAGCAAGAAATTATGAACAGACAAAATGCTCCTAACTTATTTCTCATACTATGCATAAATAAAAAGTAATGCACTTACCTTTTCATCCAATGAGTGAATGAAGCTTTCTGTAGGACTCAGAACTCTTCCAAAGGGAAGAGGAAACTCTATGACACCCCACCTAAACTCATAAATAAATAGGATTAGATAGTATCACAATAGGGTTATTTTAAATGGAACTTTTCACAGATCAATTTACTGTGTATCAAAAGAGAATGTAAGAAGGAGGAGGAGGAGCTCACTTCTTAAAGTTCTTAAAGGCAGCAGTGTCATCCAACTCTGCCCTCATATCCAATGGGTATGGCTCTCCATTCACCAAGGTAAAGGGATTCATCTCAAGGAAACTGAAATCCAGATCTATAGACAGAATAGCAAAAACAAATGTCATGTGAACAATGTCAATGTTCTATGAAAATGGAAGATAATTGTCAAACAAAACATCAACAAAAACATGCACACCCGCAAATACAACATTTGAAGATCAATAAATACAACATTTTCCATTATGTTGCCTTTAGGAATTAAAATATTACTACTATATTTTCCAAGCATGTTAGAATATTCTGTTTTCATATAGTACTAATAAGTTGGTGAAAACAAACCTGGTTGGTGTAAGCATTGCTGCATTTGAAGATCCCTTTAACAAACTGACTAGTCCCTCCTGCAATTGCCTTTGCCAAAAAATTATTATAATCTTGAATCGCAGGTGCATACTCCTTCAATTTACATCCTTATTACAAGTATTTTTAAATAGTTAATAAAGATCAGCACCTTACTGATGATTCTAACAAAGTATAGCCCAGAAATGTCCAGGATACATAACCAGACAACTTGCATAGCAGTAAACCTTCCAGAGTACATTTCTGGAGGGAAAAAGCGCAAATAGTCCTCAAAGCAGGTGAATCCTATTCTCAGACACTCATCACTCGAGTTCATATTGAAAGAACCCCAGTGGTTTCCTGCGTGCAACCCCTTTTTGCTGCAGTCTTCAAAAATACTTCGTTCCAAGCCAAAACCATGTTTCAATAGATGGCCATCACAAGTGATTACTGTAACCAAAAAAATAAAAATAAAAAAATTGAAAACTTATTTGAAAGGCTGGATGAGAATTCTGATATTATGATGAATAATGTGTGTGTGTGTGTGTGAGAGAGACAGAGACAGAGATCCTCTGCTCCCAGACAGACAGAGATCATCTGCTGCCAACAATTACAAGGCTCTACACAAGCAAATCAACTATCCTCATTGTTCTCAAGTCGACCTTAGCTCTTCAAAAGTTGCAAAAATGCAGAATCCATTATTTCCAGGACAAGATAAAAAAGAGCAAATAAGACACCAAACAAACAAAAAATCCAAAACGGAAAATCCTCACAATTGTTTTCACTTCGGAATTGCTAATAAAAAAAAGAGATGGCAACCACATAGCTAAGTTATTCGATTCTCAAAACTAATCCTCGTGACTAATACATTCACAATTTCCACAAAAAATTTGAAAATTACCCAATAAGAGAGATATAGGAAGCTCAGACAAGCACACTAGACATATTTAGGGTCAACTCTGTGAACCAACCTTGCACTTTCTAAGCAGTAAAATAAAGTTTGTGCCGTTTTCTTTGGTGTACACTTCACATATCTGAGACAGACCAAAGATATGCTTCTCTTTCCATAGCATGTTTCTCGTTCGTCCTTGTAAACATTTCCTTTTCAAACCCTACAAAGCGCAGAACAACAGAGGATAAATAATTTTGACAAATAGAAATACAATACAAGTCCATATAGTTCATAATTTGCTTTAACTATTCTAATTTCAATAAAGAATGATGAGAATCAGCTCACGACAAATAAAATAAAATAATTCTCTGTTTGTTTCGCTGGAAATCTGGAAAATGAGTTTCTCATTTTCTAGCATCTGGTACGACAGAAAACAGAATTCACTAATAGTTGAGTTGAAAATTTTAAAATTTAGTTGAAAACAAACAACATACAAGAAATAAAAGAAATTCACTCATTTTCTTACATAAGATTGTTTTAGCCAAACAAAGCAGCAATAGTTAAACAAGTATAGAAATCATCTCAGGTCTCCAATCTCTCATTTTTCCCATCCACTTATCTCCTCAAGGTTTGTAAGATGTATTTAAAGCTTACATGGAGTGCTGGATAGCTTCATGAGCTGTAGCTGAAGGCAAAAAATCATTAACTGCAACCTCTTTGTTCTCATTCTTCTTGTCTAAATTAATTGTCAAGAAAAATATTCCGTCTCCATCTTAGTTTCCATAAATATCAAATACCTAGAAAGAAAGGTGCAAAGGATACAGTCTTCAAAAAAGCGACGAATCACAGCTAGTCGATGAGGAGGAAGCTCTTTGATGTCAGTGTATTCAGACAACAAAAGCAATCAATTTGGTCTACCATTCACAATATCAGAATTAGACAGTTAACGAGCAACATTGGAATAAAACAGCAATAGTGAATTTGATTCATAATTAATTTTCTCTGTTAAATGTCAATGGCGAAGGCAGAGATAATCATGGAAAAGAACAAGAACCACTCTTATATGATACAATGTGTAGATAGAACACAAGAAGAACAGTAGTCAAAGTGTAGTTTAATACACCCTTGCACTCAATTGCCGTCGATTATCTTGCTTTACCATCTCCATTAGTGTTGTTTCCAACTCCTCAGCTCCGGAAAAGAACAAGAACCACTCTTATGGATTTACTGTAGCTTTCATGAGGCACATTAAGAAAATTAATACTATTTACGGCCCAGAGCAAAACAGATGATCATCTAATAAGAAGTAATTTTGTATTTAAAGATTGACTACCTTCCATGAGAAATTAATGCCCTCACAAAAGCATACACATGGATATATGACTGCTAATGTTAAATGATAACATAGATTATTAGCACAAAACAGGTTAAATAAACAATTTGCTCTAATGAAGGAACCCTTGAGAACTTCAACACATACATAGACAACACAAAAGCAGCTGGACACATTAATCATGCAATGCATACCAGGTTTCTAATGACACTGGGTTGATCACCTTGCCTAATTAACTACTCATCTATTTGTTTATCTTATCATAATCACCGTCTTATCTTCAACCTAATAATATGGGCCTAACTGGAAGCATGAAAAATTCTCAGAAAGATGCAGATACTAGACACCGCACAGCAAGTACTAACCTTGATGTACCAGATCTCTTCTCCTCCAGCAACCTGCACAACTCGACCTTCAACCAAGCCACCTGCACATGAGCCGTTAATGAGCGAAACTTGAAAAGAGTTGAACATGAATTACTTATATTCATCGTGTGATTACAAGTAATATGCCATTGTTTACATTTATAAGTTTTGCAATTATTGAACTGGAAATCTAGTCATACTACCCAGCAAATGACATGAGTAACAGATAGAGGTGTGGATTTAGCAATCTCCTAAACACTACTAAAGAAGTGCATCATTCTCATGGCACCTTTACTGGCCAGACAAAGATTAATATATAATAGCATCAAGGTTACCTGAGCATCATTCAAGAACATAATTGATGAGTAGCTTTGCTACACAAACATGGTAAAGAACGAAATGGTTCTTTCGGTTTCTCTCCCTATTTTTCATGTTTTTTAGTGAATGCAAAACTATATCAGAATCAGGAGTGCTGAAAACAACTGGAAGAAACTAGAAGTGAGAGACATTTTTGAGTAAAGAGATGGAATTCTGTCCAGTGGCCCATAGAGGAAAATAGGTTTATAGTGTAAAAGAAGGAAGACAGATTAGAGTCTCACTTCCCCAGCACCAAGGAATAAAAATGTCTGCTTGGCCAAGGATCTACCAAGTAACTTCAGTGCCGCAACAAGCCCTGCAAGAACCACAGCTGCTGTCCCCTGCAAAAGTGGGGAAAAAAAAAGTTAAGACAACATGGGATTCCTCAAGGTTATTTGAACGACGACCATATTATCACATACCTGTATATCATCATTGAAGACAAGATGAGTAGTACTATATTTCGCTAGCAGCTCAAAAGCATTGTGGTTTGCAAAATCTTCAAACTGTAAAGTATTGGTAGCAAATCAAACCAACATTAGAACTGCAAGAACAAGATCAGGCCCTGAAATTTTTTCAGATTAAGGATGCAAATCCACCTGTATGAGTACTTTTTCACCATAGTTCCGCTTGACAGCAGTCATGAATTCATGAAGAAGGTCATAATATTCCTGGAATACAATTTGACAAAACTGCCTCAGTATTAAAGAGAATTACATAATGTATCTTAATGCTTGTAACTAAACACAATAAAAATTAAGCTTGCAACCCCAATTCTAACAAGAGCGGTAAGGTCTAGAAAACTAAATATATAATAAGGCTAACCTTGTACATATGTGGCTGTGTGAAAGACGGCTCATCCATCTCATTGTGCCCAAATCTACGATAACACACTATATCAATCACTGAACTGAAGAAGAATCGAAGAACAATCACTGAACTGAAGAAGAATCGAGAGAGATTTGAGTGAGAGAAAGAGAGAGCAACTAACCTCTGATCGAAGAAGACTAAGAGCTCCAAATCCACGGAGATGAATCACCGATCTGAAGAAGAATCGAAGTAGAATCGAGAGAGATTTGAATGAGAGAGAGAGCAAAGAGTGAGTGAGAGATTTGAGTGAGTGAGAAGGAGACGGCAGTGCTCAAAATAGGGTTTTCAAAATAAAAATAAAAGAGAGATAGAAGAGGGTGTGAAGAGAGACAGGGAAGAGGGTGTGAAGAGAGACAGGATTTGGAGGCGTTTTTTAAGCGTCTTCTATTTACGAAACGGTGTCGTTTTACCTAACAAAAAAGGCGACGTTTAAAAAACGCCGTTAATTATAAAAAAAAAGTGACGTTTAACTAAACGTCGTTAATTAAACGCCGTTAAATCCTCATTCTCCTGTAGTGACAGTTTCAAAATTTATGTAATATATAAAACAAGTATCTCTGGCCACCCTACTTTATTTTGTTACATGTATGCATGTTTGTATATAATAAAAACAAAGCCTAAACTCATTAAAAGTATAGGTAAAACTACATGCAACGCAAAGAATTTGGATGCATATGGTGATGCAATTAAAAGATTGTACAACTTAAAACTTTTCTATATGAATGTAAAAAGACAAAGTATGATCAGTGCACGAAACATCCGCTAAAGCAAGATCTGGAAACTAGGAAAATTGACTTTTTCGAGCAGGCGGCCTAGGCTCGAGATCACGGTTGATGTAGAGGAGGTAGAAACATGTTTAACAGGGCTGAGGTTTCCAACCATAACAGAGAGCCATCACACAATCTTTCGCTGAGCTGCCCACTGTTGCCTTTATTTCTTCTGATTTTGCTATTGTCTGCAACCACAGATCTATTAAGTTATGCAGTCGAAAGCTGGGATGCAATGGCTGACCCTTCAATGAGATCTCCACCTGGGGGAAAAAAAAAACTATAGTAATCAGCAAATTTGCCAATAATGCTTCGATTATCAACTATACTATTGTTGTTGTTGTTGTTAATCAATATGAATTGATTTCTTTAATTGGTGTTTGACAATACATGAGACTAGTCTTGCACAATACTCTAAATAGTGTACTTTGATACTAAGCCAATGTCAAATGTAGAAAATGAAAATTCTACTATGGAAAATAGAAGAAGCTAATGAATCAACTATAGACTGGAAAAGACATACTCACCCAAACAAACTTGCATAGACATCAGCATATACAAACTTATTTTCATAGGGAAGTGATTATGATTATGTAAGGTACCTCAGCTTGATGGCAGTTAAGATCCAGCCTATCTACAACGAACTTTTGGATGGATGAAACTGGTACATTTGCATCCCTATGGTGGGAACAAAGGAAAACATGTCAATAATGACAAGAATTTTGCTTGCCGCTAACTAAAACAGTTCTTCTGGTAAACAGAAGTCAAGACACGGTCATGGATTAGCTCTTCAACAATTTGTTTTGTAACAAAAATCTCATTTCAAGTATAGGGAAAAGTTCGACGGAAGGTTAGATCAAAGAAGTCAGAGAGAAAACTTACATGGAATAAAGCACCCAATATGGGATGCATAAGCTTTTCTTAATGCTATCTGTAAAAGGGACTTCTTTCAAATGCCACACAAATACAATCAGATGATCTATTTGCACTTAATGTGAACATTCCATGTGTTTTGGATGCTATTTGTACTTTGTTAAATAATTAAGACACCATCATTACTCCAAGAGGACGAAAATAATGCTTAGTGAACGTGTTCATAGTTGTTCACAGTTGTAGCTCAGAGGAAGAAAAATAAGATGTATTAAATTTACCAAGAGAAGATCTTCATCAATTCCAAAGGATTTGCGAGCTTCTTCTAGGCGCTTTGATGTGACCTTCTCATGTTTCCTGCACAATCATCCAAAGTGGAACATCTTTTGCTCCTTTTGTCCAACAGGCATGGGATTTCCATAAAAAAGATATGGCTTTACCTATCCAGAGGTTTGTGGAGCAAATCAAACTCTGGAATCGAGAGACTTTTGGTAACATTTTCCACAGGAAACGCAAAACTCTGGCGCAACTTGCAGGTTTTCAAAAAGCTCTGTCTCTCCAGCCAAATTGTTTTCTTGATAATCTCGAGGAGAAGTTGATTATGGAATATATTGAGATCCTCCTTTAAGAAGAACCTCTATGGTTTCAAAAATCACGGATGAATTGGCTTATGTTTGGGGACTGCAAGACTCAATTTTTTCCATACATCAACGATTATCCGAAGGCGATAGAATGAGATCATGCCCTTAAAGAATACTGATGGCTCGTGGTGTGTGGATCAGATAGCATTTCAACAACGAGCAATCCAGTTTTTTAAGGAATTGTTCAGGTCTGAAACTTCTTCTGGTATTTACTCTCAAGTTAGCCCTCCATTGCCCCATCTCTCTAAATCGGAATAATCTATTCTTGCTGCCCCAATCTCTTGTTTGGAAGTCAAGTCTATGGTTTTTGCTATGGGTCTCTGCAAGGCTCCAAGTCTAGATGGTATTCAACCTTTCTTTTATTAGAAGTGTTGGGATAAGGTTGGCTCTCCTATATGTTCCGTCGTGTAACAAGCTTTTCGGGAGGACCAAGTTCCAGCTGATTTGAATAGAACCTTAATTACCTTAATTCCGAAAGTACCTCATCCGGACGCTATGAGTCACTTTAGGCCAATATCGTTGTGTAATGTCACTATGAGGATTATCTCCAAGGTCTTGGTCACCCGTTTGTAACACTTTCTTCCAACTTTGATATCTCCTTATCACGGTAGCGTCATTCCGGGGCGACAATCGACAGACAATATAGTTATTGTCCAAGAGCTTCTTTATACTATGAAGAAAACCAAGCATCAAAAAGGGATGGTAACCATCAAGATCGATTTGGAGAAAGCTTATGACTGGATTGAATGGAGTTTTCTTAGAAGTGTATTGGAAAAAATTAAACTCCCAAATAATTAGATTTCCTTGATTATGAGTTATGTGACCACTTCCCAGTTGTCGTTGCTTTGGAATGAGAAAGTTACTCCAGAATTTCAACCATCTCGCGGCCTTTGGCAGGGAGACCCCCTCTCCCCTTATCTATTTCTCCCTTGTATTGAAAAATTAGGTCGTAGCATTGATCACATTGTGGCTCAGGGCTTATGGAAACCTATCAAACTTTCCTGAAAGGGGTCCTATTTCTCACATTTGTTTTTTGCAGACGACATGCTACTTTTTGGGGAAGCTACGGAGGCACAAATCCAAATTATGCAATCTGTGATGCAAAATTTCTATCATGTATTTGGGCAGCGTATCAACTTTCAAAAATCCAAACCTTATGCCGTTCCAAGGGACAGAGTTTTATCCTTGAGTTTAGCTACTAGTATTTTTATGACATAAGACTTGGGCAAATATCTTGGGGTTGCTCTCATTCATGGGAAAATGTCCAAGACGATGTATAGACATGTTCTTGATCGAGTGCAAGCTCGGTTAGCTGGGTGGAAAACTCAACTACTTTCCCTAGCGAATAGAGTCACTCTTATCCAATCCGTTACCGTGGCTATCCCAGCTTACTCTATACAGACTACTCTTCTCCCGGCTTCACTTTGTTCTGCTATTGATAGCCTACATAAACGGTTCCTCTAGAGTTGTGATCAAACTAAGACAAGATCATCTCTTGTGGCTTGGGAGGATATCTGTAAAGATAGAGAGGATGGGGGATTGGGGATTGGGGCTTCGTAAGATGCAAAACATGAATCTAGCTCTTCTTTCTAAATTGGGTTGGCGTTTAACTCAAGATACCACCTCTCGCTAGGCTATCAGTCTTCATGCTAAATATTTCCATCATGGGAAACAAGTGTGGGGTCCTCCTCCATCCAGTGCATCCTATACTTGTCGTAGCATTAATAAAGGGTCTCAACTTCTTATTAGTAGCTTCAAGTGAAGAGTTGGCAATGGGAGGTCCATTAGCCTCTGGATGGATCATTGGATAGGTGATGTGGTTTTTCTTCATTCGACTCTTAATGTGATTCCCGATTCAGAAATTCATAAAAGAGTCTTTAAATATTGGATAGACGGAGTTGGTTGGGATTGTACGCGCTTAATGACTTGGCTACCGCCCCACATCTTAAATCTACTCAAGAGGGTAGTTATTAATAATGCACTTGGGAACGATGATTGTCAAATCTGGAAACACGTGCCCAAAGGGCATTTTTCTACCATAACAGCATATCACAGACTTATCCCTCTGGCTGGAGACAATAGATTGATTAGTGGCTGGAAGAATTTATGGAAATCTGATGGGCCGAATATATGGAAGCACTTTATTTGGCTTGTTCGTCGCGACCACATTTTGACCAATGCGTTGAAGTTTTGCCGTGGTATCTTTGTGCCAACTGCCCATTTGTTATAGCCATAATGAGACTACTCTCCATGCTTTGGGAGATTGTGAGTTTCCAAAAAAGGTGTGGCATGAACTGATTCCTCCCTCACACAGGCTTTTATTTTTCTCAGTGCTCCTTCAAGCTTAGATTGATGTTAATCTGAAAGCTCCTCCATGGCCTAGCTCAATGGACTGTCCTTGGTCTTTATTCTTTATGGGGGCCTTATCATTAATTTGGTATTAGCATAAAGCTCCTCCATGGCCTAGCTCAATGGACTGTCCTTGGTCTTTATTCTTTATGGGGGCCTTATCATTAATTTGGTATTAGCATAACAAGGAAACTCATGATAATGGCTTTGCTCCCCCCATCCCGCCCAGTTGATGTGATTAAAACACGAGTTGTTGAAGTTCTCCAAGCCAATGACTTGAGGAATAATCATGTTGGCCTTAACACAACTACTGCTAAGATAAATCAATGGCACCATCCTCCGCCTCATTGGGTTAAACTGAGTATGGATGGCTCAGTTCAAGGGCAAGAGAACAAAGCTGGTGCTAGGGGTATCATTCGGACAGCTGATGGTAAATGGGTATTCGGTTTCCAACACTTCATTGGGTGTACCACTGTTGTTGCGGCAGAACTGTGGGCATTATGGATTAGTCTTCAGCTGACATGTGATGGAGGATTTCGAGCCGTTGTAGTTGAAACAGGCTCCTTGGACGCTATCAAAGCTGTTGGGATAATTGATCAAATGGATCCTAATTTCAATATTTGTCAAGAAATTAGGGACCTCATGTCAAGGGATTGGCAACGCCATCTTCAAGCTATTCGTCATGTAGCTAATGAATGTGCGGACTCTTTGGCCAAGACTGTTGTTCATCAGGTTGCTTCAAGAGTTGTTCTTCGCGACTCGTCCTCCTTTATGCAACCTTTGTTAGCCTCCGTTTGGGAAGTGGGTTGGCTTTTTGACTTTTTTTATTATAGGTTGGATGTGATGTTTTGTTTGTTGTGGTTAAAATAGCCTATTTTGTCTTTTGTGGCTATTTTAGCCTAGGCTAAAAAGTTTGGTTTGGGAAGGATTTTTTGGCTTTTTAGTTTTTTTGACTTTTTTTATGAGAGAAGAGTGTAATGATTATGGATTGGATGTGATGTTTTGTTTGTTGTGGCTAAAATAGCCTATTTTGTCTTTTGTGGCTATTTTAGCCCCAACCTTACTTGCCAAACGGACCTTTAGTCAAGGATGGTCAGGGATGTAGCATTTCCCCCATTTTTCTGTGTAGTCGTGAGGCTTTGCCTCCTCTTTTAACCAAAAAAAAAAAAAGTTAAATATTTGTGAAGAATTTTTTTAAAAAAATTAACCAAACTTTAAAAAAAAATTAAAAAACATAAAACAAAAAACTGATATATTTTTATATTTCTTGTTTGTGAACATTTTTTTAGATTTTTTTCATAAATATCAGTATTTTTTTTAACAAACTAAAAATTAATTTAGTGATAAAATGAAAAAAAAAATTAAAAGTCCAAATTGAAAATGATATTAGGTGATAGTTCAAGGGAGTAAAGCGATATGAGGTGACAGTTTAAAAGGGTATAAAGTGTAATTTATCTAATTGATGAAAGTATATTTTAGTCATAAAGGTCCAAATTAAAAAATAAAAATAGTCGATGAGGGGGTTCATTGCTACAATTTTTAGTTGAGGGGGTATAGTGATATAGGACATTAATTGAAAGGGGTAAAGTGTAATTTATCCTATTATAAATTGAGCTTCATATTATTTGGGTTGTCCAAATCCAACCAAACTTCAATTTGGACTTAAAAAATCAAGCCCAGACCCCGAACCAAATTCATAAATAATTCTCAATTCATTTTTCTTCTTCTTTGGACTGGGCTCTAGTCAAGCTAGCCGAGAGCATGTGAAGGGAACATATTTTATTTGGAGCTCTATCAATTAATAAGTGTTTTAACTACACCTTTCTGACACAGAAAACTCTAAAAAACACATATAATGAAAAAAATAAAAACAAAAAGGGGCTCAAAGTTTTGTGATAGTGATCTAATGCAAGTTGGAAAAAAAAAAAAAAAAAAAAAGCTACCACAACCTCTATTGATAGTGCACAGTACAAGATAACTAGGCCTTAATATTTTTACTGTCTAATAGTGATTGTTGTTGACTTAGATCCCTGTGTTTTTATTTTAGGCAGAGGATTCTCTCCCTTTATTTTATCACTTTCTAACTTGTTTAATAAGTCCAAGAAATCTCATAGTAAAAATTAGTATTAACAAGGATGAGAATTTGATTTTGAGTTGAGTTGAGGGATAGTCATTTTATGCAAATATTGGGAAAGTCAATCAATATTCAGTACCATTCATATTATTCATTTCACAATGTTGAACTAGAAAGTAATACCAATGAACCATCCTTGCTAGTTGAATCGAGTCATTTCTCCTAAATTCCCCCAAATCCATGCTCAATTTTGCTTTTTCACCAAAATGTGTTCCAGGAAGCTGAAATAAATATTTATTCCACATAGTACTAAATTTGAGTACAAAAATCGATGAAGATCTGCACACATTACAATAAAATTGACTGGAATACATGAATTATAGAGCTATAATCAGTGTAAAATTCACTTCCAAAATGTCTTTCTTGGTCCCCCCAAAACAAAAAATAAAACTAAAAACAAAAACTAACAATTCAATCAGATCTGGATTAGACACACGTCTAGTGAAGTTTAGTCTATATTAGATTCTTATACAAAGTGGATGACTGATAAAAGGTAGGTGGCTAGGGAAAGCTTGATTTGATCAGATTGTGAGATTTTCTTTTATGTTAATAGGCCCAAGACTCCCAACGATGTTCCCACCCACATCTGGAAATGTTTCGCAACCAGGAATAGGCTTCACCTTTCCCATTTGATCAACTTCAACCGGGTACTTGAGAAGGTGACCCTTCATTTCTGTAACTTCATCGGCAGCATATTGTTTCCAGTTCAACTCGCTCAGTGATCTTACCCTCCTTACGCATTCAAGGCTCTCAGGATGCTTAAAAAATTCCTCAAGAGCACCGATATGCTCTGCCCACAGTGACATTCTATACCCATGGACCTGCAATCAGACAAAAATAGCAGCTGGTCACAAATTCATGTCGCTAAACATGCATAAATGAATACCAACTAGCATAAAAGTCCATGACAGAATACCAAGACTACCTATAAAAATAAAAACAGAAAGACAAAGTCCAAAGATTGCGGACCATAATATGTAAGCAAGCTCAGTTTAGTCACAAATCTGAACTTTTCAAAAATGTATCAGAAAAATGTCTCAAAAGCACAAGTATTGAGGTGTGTGACTCAATATTACCCCCAAAACTTTGATATGCAAGCATAATTAGAGAGAACATATGTCAACTTCAGCTTCAACTCGGTTATTTTGGTCAAAGAGACAAAAGACAATTTTACCCAATAAATAAAACAAAAGGAAAGAAAGAGTAGACACAGATTTAGACACACTTCAAACAAGTCTAGCAATCTCAGGATGTCCACAACATAAATGCTCTTCAATGCTCATGAGTTCAAATACACAAAATTGTAGGCTCATTTTTTTTTTACTTATAAAAGATTGTATCGTTCTTTGAATTTATGTTAACTCCTCAAATTATTTCACCTAATAATAATAGACATTTAATATAAAATAGGATGATATTATGTTTGATTTATCTGACATGAGACAAAGTGTTGTCTTTTGAAAGCCACCAACGTCAAAGCACAATAATTGCACAAAATTCATTCTGGTGAAAGCATACCTGCCCACGTGGAGTAGAGTGTTTGCTTGCCCAAGTATAGTGAGGCTGATACGCACCCATCGCAATCTCCGTGTCTCTAGTGCCCTCCAAGGAACGTTGATTGATGTTTGCAGACCCGAGTATCACATACTCATCATCAACAATCATTCCTTTTGAATGGACGTAGATCATAAAGCGTCGGTTTTTTCGTGTCAGTTCCTGAGTATCAACAGGACACATTCAAATGGAAGGGGATCATGGACAAAGATGACTGGAAAAACGGGAAGCATAATATTTGGAGAGAGATTAAAATATAGGTACCCAATCTTTCCCCTTCCAAACACATATTATTGTGTACTAATTGGGCGTTGTTTTATATGAAAATATAGGTAGGAGTAGAGAGAGATTTACTTGAGAATGGTTTTTGGTAGTAGCATTTCCTGCATCTGAACTGTCTTCCCTATCTTGAGCCTCACGATTGCCAAGGCAGAAGAAATTCAAATAATCTTGAGGTTCATATTTCTTCTCAAGCCCTACCTCTTCCAAAGCCTTGTAAATTTCTTCATACATCATTTGCATTGTATTATGCTGCATAATCAACAATATCACCAGGTTCACGAGATGTATGTAGCAAAAATCCCAAACAATATGCAGTATTATCTATAAAAAATTCATATCCCTCTTATACTTCTTCTGGAAAATAGATTATAATTAACTTCAAGATAAATTTGTGTCACATCACATGTATATCGTCTGGAGAAAATTGAAAAAGAAAAAAGAAAAAAGAAAAAGAAAAAAAAAAGAAAAGAAATAGAAACCCCTTCATTTAGTAAGTAATTCATACCAAACAAGGTTTAGGTACAGCATGCAACAAAGTAATGAGTTTTTTAAGCATAGTCATCAATCCCATACTGGTCAGCATACTGTGTTTGCCATTAATACAGTACGTACCGATACCAGTGCATTCAGCTTAGTATTTTGAATTTATCACTACAAATGTCATATATAAACTTACAGAATTTGATGGAGAAAATGTGGCATTGCCTATATCAGGTATTGTTCAACACCAAACCATTTTAGAACATAAATATGTTATCCAACACCAGTACATATCTAAACAGAGTTAAAAGACATTTTTTATTACAAAAGAATAAAAAAATAAATCATTTTAGAATAACATACTTCAAAGAGACTTTAAAACAACCAATCATAAGTTGTTACAAAATTTAATATATTAGCATTTGGTTATACATATTACAAGCATGCAACATTCATTAAAGATGAAAAGAAAAGGACTAAGTTTTACAGATTTTGGTCCAAAAGTCCAATTTTTATTTTCTTCAGCCTAAAAGTTCATACTCTAAATTACTATGTCCATAAGGACATGCTCTTGAAAAAATACCAAATTACCCATTTATTAATCACGCGTGTTGTTCCTCTCAATAATCAAACCGTCTCTCTCTCTCTCTCTCTCTCTCTCTAAATCACTTCTCTCTCCCTCTAATTGTTTCGCTCTTGAAACCCATATAAATGAGCAAAAACGAAGGGATGAGCAGAGGCTTTGCTGCTGCAGTCGCAGCTGTCGGCGCGCGCCGCAAAGTATCCTCTGTCTCCGACCCGAATGAAAGCGTCATCACCATTGACGAGCTCAAACAAAAGAGTGTGTAAGGCATAGAGAGAAATCAAGAGAAAATGGCAATGATTAGGTCGTTGTACCACTCAATCTACTTCAGATCTCTCTGTTCTTCTTCCGCCACCACACCATCAAAATGATCCACACTCCCAACAATATCGTACAATGAAGATGAAGATGATGAGAAGAAGATTAGAGTGGTGATGAAGCATAGTGTCAAGATCTTGGAAGAGCTAGTCATTGTTCTCTTTGAAGCTTTTTGTTTTTTTGGTAACATTTTGCTATGTGTTGTGTTGTGCGGAATAGATCTATCAGATTTGTTGTTCTCCGTCAGATCTGAGATCCTCTGTCGGCACCTCCTTCCACCATAAAGATTGATGGCTCTGGCTAAGATCCTGCGGATCCAGAGGGTTATGGTTTTGCACTCCCCCCCCCTCTCTCTCTCTCTCTCTCACACACACACACACTCCTCATCTTTCTCTCTAGGGTTCGTGTTTCGATTCGCAAATAGATTGTCACCGCAGTCCAACATCAACCACAACTCCGAATGAAATCGCGATCATCATCAACCACAACGGTGATCGTTTGGAATAGATCCGTCAGATTTGTTGTTCTCTGTCAGATCTGAGATCCTCTGTCGGCACCTCCTTCCACTATAGAGATTGATGGCGCTGGCTGAGATCCGGCAAATCCAGAGGGTTATGGCTTCGCATTCTCTCTCTCTCTCTCACACACACACACACACTCCTCATCTTTCCCTCTCTAGGGTTAGGGTTTCGATTCTCGAATAGATTGTCATCGCAGTCCAACATCAACCATAGCTCCGAATGAAATCGCGATCATCATCAACTACAACGGTGATCGTTTGGATGACTTGAGGCGGTGATAATGGCAGTGGTGGCGGTGGTTCCATTGCCTCTGGTTTTCTAAGGTTTTGACATCAATTGAATGAGAGAAACTAGTCTCAAAACCAAATCAATAATATACACAGAGATATATAAGTATGGTTTTATGTATTAGAAGTAGGCAAAATCTACCTATAAATGGTTAGGGTTTTTTTTTTCCCTTATCTAATCATAACGGATAGCGGTGACATTTTTCACAATTTTTCATATATTTATATAACAAAATCAATTGGGTTAAAGGCATTCTAACAATGTTGTAATTTGAGGATGAACCAATACATCTTTTGTTCTCTCTCTAGTCTCCAATAACCATGTACAGGTAGGTATGTTCTTCTTTCTCTCCTCATTGGGTTGCTTTTCTTCTATCCATTTGGCTGTAATTTCAAGAGACGAAGAGTGTGGCGAAGTACTTGGAAGAGGCACATAAAAATCTGTTTTTTTACTTTTCTTATTTTTTGATATTGTTGTTGTTGATAATGATGATGAACAAATATGATTTGATAATTTGTTGTTGTTGATGAACAGAAAAAGACAGATAGAGAGAAGAAATATTTGAATAGATAGGATTTGGTTTGGCTTGATATTTCAACAGATAGAAAAAATAAAAAATAAATAAAAATTTAATAGGTAAAATTTCAACATATAAAATCCAAGGAAAAAATTGAGCAGATAGGAATAAAATTTGACCAGAAAAAATCATAAAATTAAATAGATAGGGCCAAAAAATTGAACAGATAGGGAAAAAATTGAAAAGATAGGAAAAAAATTAAACAGATAGATATAAATTTGAATTGATAGTCAAAATAATTTGAATAGATAGTTAAAAAGAGTCCACAGATAAATTAAGGGGTAAAATTGAAAATAAAATGTCCTTCAATACAAATAAAAGGACTTCTCACCAAACTATTTCACAAAAGGTGGACTTCTCACCAACAAAAAATATCCACTGGACCTAATGATGCCTTATACCCTCCTTAGGTTGGGACTTTCCAACAATTTTCCCTAAGTTTTATTTATTGACCTTATATCTTTTGCCCCCTTATAAATATTTTTACGAGGGGCAAAATAATCTTTCCCTGCCTTCCTTATCAAATTCTGACCAAATTTTGGAATTTGTTTAGCTCAATATATGTAAATGGTTTCTTCCAAATACATAAATAAAGCTTGTTGCAAAATTTTCATGAATCTCACATAAAAAATTTATGTACACTTCACATAACAGTTTACACTTAAACTTCACAACAGTTGTGAACTGTTCTCTTTTACAGCACGTGAAGGTATATATCACATAAGCAGGAATCAGTTTAGGATTCCACAAGTTACAAAGTGATACCATTTTGACCTCTACTAACATCCATATATAATGGTGCGATTCTCAATTACAACAAAAGGGATATATATATAGAGAACATATGGGGCGATTCAATTTGTGGGGGACAAGGAATCCTTTCAGTCATATATAATTATACCACAAAAATAAGAAATTACATTACAATTTCTCAACATTAAATTTTTTTGATGCGGCATGATAGCTCTTTAATATGGTTTCAGCAAACGATAGTTGTTTAAGGCAATGTTAGGCAGCAGTTGGAGTTTACCTGCCACAGAAGAATCCTTTGAGTCGGAGCACCTGTAGGGACACCCTCCGGCCACATTGGGATGACAATATATGCAGAAAATCTCTCCTTTGCTCTGATTTTATTTGCAATTTTGAGAGCAATTTCCATTGGTATTAAATTGTTTGCACCTGTGGATAATAACAAACATATATATCATCCTCAAAATGCTCACTTTCACTGTCTAGAAAATTTGTAATTTCACAACAGCCACCCTATCTTTCCTTAAGATTATAATGTTTTTATTTCCCTTGTCACGTTTGTTTCAGCAATCAACCAGAGCATGAAAAATGAAGAAAATGAAAACTAGGGTAATGAGTTAGCTATTAACCATTACAAGCAGCTGATAGTGCATAATTTCCACAACAAATGAAAATAAATGAGTTACTGTATACTCGGATTCCTATATATAATTTTCGCATTACAACTTTTGATATGTGATAGTAACAACATATCCTAATTTTTTCCCTTTCAGTTTACCCTGAATGTCAATTCCTCACCTAAGTCTCTGTGGTTAGTCCAATTGTATGATGACCCAAGGAAGTACTGGTTCTCAATGTAAATGAAATGTTGGGCAGCACGGATTGCCTTTACATATGCAGTATGTATACTCATGTCTATCAGGACATTCTTCCCACATACCAGGTTCTGTTACGATGAAGGGAAGATATTAAGAAGCACACATCATAAACAAGATTGACGGAAAAATAATCAAGGGGAAAATCACAATCCAAAATTTTCTCTCACCCTGCTTGTGGCGTCTTTTGGGTCTTTTGGAAACCCCTTAACAGAATTGGAATCAATTGAACGAAAAACCTATAATTTTTAAATAAGTTAGTTAATAAAAATTGAGTATCAAAGTTTAATAATTTTGAATATCTATTTTAACAGCCTTCATAAACTAACATACCTGGACATGCCAAGCTTCTGGACCATCCTCATTTAGGCAAGACACATCTGTAATTCCAATGATGTCGGGAATTCTATCAATTATGAGTAATGAATCATCATGCGACTTTGTCATTTTTTGAAGCCCATGAGGCTTTGAAGCCCTTAACCAACGCTCCTCAAAGTTGGTGAGGATGTCATATGCTGCTGGACCATCAATTTGACAGTGTAAGTCATGCCACGGTTCTCTTGGACAACCAGCAACAGGCCCCTGTTCAAGTAACAACAAATATCGGGAAAAGGAAAAGTCAGAGAAAAGGAATCTTTAACATCACATGTTAAAATGACGGTGGTATCACCAACCCATATACTTGTCTTACTCTATTTATATTTGTCATTCTTTTCCTTTCTCATTATACTTTTCTCATCTTTTCTAGCAAAACCAAAAAATTGGGGTTGATTTTGTTACTCTATTTGTACTTTTCTTTTCGTGAATGAAAGTTTTGGTTTATATAATTATTTGGAACCATGAAATATTGATCAATTTTGTACAAGCCAAACAACAAAACATGTGTTCTGGCTTGTCGCAACCAAACATAGGAAAACAAGTCATTTTAAAGACAATGTTTTCCATGGAAAATGTTTTCATTGAAACAAATGGAACGTTAGTAGATAAATCACATATAACTAAAGGAGAGCAGTAACAATAAAAATCCATAACTTGATATGGCAATATAGAATGTTGATTGAATGAATACCGTGAAAGTAGGATTATGATAGTCATCTTTGTGCACAGTTTGTAATGTCCGAAAGATAGGATGTTTGGGAGTGTCATATCTCCCATTGCATAAATCAAGACCCCCAACAAATGCTATGATCTTCCTCTTATAATGACCTGCATCAGCATCCACAATCACAGTTTTCTGATGATGGGTGTAGATTGTTCCTGCTTCCTGATAACCAGACCAATAAGACATTAAAAGCAGATCCTGAATCTAGAAAAGGTATATCAAGATTATCATTAAAAAATTTGGTTTTGGCAATTCCAAATCTTTGTTTGATCTAACACCTTGGTAGACAACTGTAAATAACGCATTACGAAAGGTATGATTCTCTACAATATAGCAATATGAAAAAGTAACTGACACATAAACAAAATATCGTTCCATAACATCAAATTCAGCTATGCTAACTATTAGTAACTCAAGTTTAACATGATTGGTTAAAATTTACACGGCTTCTGAAGACAAAACATTTAGCAACACAAATTGCCTTACTTCACCACCACTTTTACAAATTCAAGAACTCTTTTCAACTTTCCTATAACTTATTAGCATCATCTCACAGAACTTAGAAGAAAGCTGCATCCAATTCTTCAGAAAACATATCAACAACAAGGTAAGATGTAAAGATTGCAGATCTGACCTGCTTTTTGACCCAGCTATATCCTTTTCCAGAAGATCGGGGACAAAGCAAAACTTGCACTGAAGAATGCTTGAAGAACTTCCGAGTCTCCTCATCACCGGTATGCATTACCCCATCCTAATAAAAAAAGTAATATCTTGTAAAAAATGTTTTACTTAAGCTAATGAGCAATGTAGGATTAAAAAGTTAATGTGGACACCACGTTTAAGGAACATAACTTAGCAGATGTCATGAAAGAAGACAGTTAGTACACTACAACTCCAGCTGAGAAAGCTTTATCCACAGATAATAAGATCTATAAACACAATATGGTATGATAAACTTATTTAAACAATGAATAACAATATAGGGTGTTAATAAACACTTGCATGGAAACCATGACAATTGACAAATTGAAACATCAAGTCATACAAGATTGTTAGACTTCAATCCAATCTTATAATTTCAACAATGCTGAATGCCAAGATAACAAAAACAAGAGCATTATACAAAGTGAGGAGGGAAACAAGGAAGAACAAGGACACTCATTTATAGGAACTGTATGCCTTTTAAACTTTCAAAGCATAACTTCACTCAATGATGGAAACAAACTCTTAAACCATGACTTGAATTTGTCAATAATTAAAATTATACCACCCAAAATAGGGCCCAATATGATAAATATCACTGCTATCCACCCATGATAAGTAACCAAACCAAACCAAACCAAGCCTTAAGTCCCATCAAATGGGGTCGGCTACATGAATCATTCTTCATCACTCGACTCTATCAAAGGCCATTTGGTTAGTCAAACTAAGGACATTCATATCTCTACTTACTACACTAGCCCACATCCACCCATGATAAGTAGAATGAAAATTTTGATGAAGACCATAGTACATACTCGATTGTGTCACTAACTGTAAATTGTGGCACAACATGATAATATTTTGAGCAAAATTTAAAACATTCCACCTCAGGTTTCAAAAAGATTTGATGATTAAACAAGATCACTCAAAGCACCAGGAGGAAACAACCCAGAAATGCATGAGGTACACAAGAAGCTAAGCTCCAAAAATATATATATATATATATATGTCATAAAAAATATCCACATAAAAGTCAATGAAAATTTAAGAACTCACTGTCAAACATCATCAAATGATAGTAGACAATCCTCCCATAGAAACAACCATGGAGAACAAATTTTAATTAAAAAAACCTACAGAAAAAATCAACACAAATATAAAGTAATGAATTAAATTATTTTGAAGGCCTTATGACAAAAACATTAGAATGTACTGATGCCAAACTAAACAAAATACAATGAGCAACCACCTTGAGCTCCACAAAAGTAATCAATTGAGCTATAAGCTCCAACATAGGAAATTAGTCCTTTATCTGACTTGTGTTTAAAACAACAATATAACACATGAATTATAAAAGATGAAGATCCATTAATCATCTATTGGAAAATCTCCCAAAGTAAAGATAAAATTACAAAATGGATAGCATGTCAACGGAGTCCAAATATGACACAATAAGTTTGGTTATTACCTTATGATAACCCAAAATGCTCTGAGAAGTAGGATCATCCCATACAAGGAGCAGTACCCTCACACCTTCTTGTGACTTGGTTTTGAGAAGTTCCCCTAGACTGAATTTTGATGCATTATCATTATCCCGAACAAGACTAATATTGTAGGACAAAGACCACCCTGTAATGTATATTAACCGACGGGCCTGACTAATTGCATCAAAAATGTCACGCCAACAATTCCCTTGCTCGTATTTTATGTTATGGTCAAGTCTCAAATTTGGAAGGCAACCACCATGGGCATCTTGATAAAGTCTAACCTTTCCACCTCTCCTAAGGGGAAAATATGTACCAGGTACTCCATGATTTTCAGTGTGTGACCCTACCGTACTATGGTAAAGTGTGATTTTCTCTATTGATATGTATTGAATTGATAAAGTCAAGACAGCTCCAGACTTGCACGGCTTACCGCTCTCATTAACAACTGGAAAGGTACCTTCAAGTTTTGTGCCTGACCAAAGTTGCTCCACTGGTATCCCAACAGCACCTATAATTTGAGAGCCCACAACATCATTGTCTTTAACAACAAAGTGCACCTCCGCAGCATAATGTGCAACGGGAACATTAAAATGTTGCATCCAAACCGGGTTCTCATTATTACTAATCACAAAAGTCCTTCCAATAACAGCATTGGAGATTGAAATTGTGACATATGGATCAGTTGTCATCTTACGACTCACATTCCCTTCAATTTTGTTGCTAACATTTCCCGGGAATTTCCTAAACAATTCCCCTACTTTCTTGTGCAACGAATCCATGTTAGGGAGGTTGTTAGCCTCTTTGATACAAATATCTAAATTTCCATGTAGCATTAAAACCTTTAAAGATGCATTTGAGGTCTTAAATGGCACTTGTTGTACACCCTGTCCATGGTGTGAACCTTCATCAGACCACGAATCACCATAAACAGAATAAGCCATATAAGAACACTCCTCAGTAAATTTCCCCCCCAAAAAAACAGATTGAATTCCTTATCTACTCTTGTGTCTCAAACTACCCAACAAGATGTATTTAACAGTAATGAAAATTGATAAAACAACCACAGCCCATCAAAAGATTACTCCTCCAAATACATAAAAAGAAAACAAAATCAAAAATTGACAAAAACCTGGATTTTGATTTGATGGTGATCAAAATCTGGGGTAGCTCTTCCTGTGAAGAGGAAAATGATCGAATACCTGGTGGGTGGTACCTTAACATGCAAATGCAAGAACTACCCAGTTGAAATGGAAGAACGAATGAGAGATTTGGACGATTGGCAGAGGTTTTTTGGGGGAGAAATTGAATGGGTAAAAGTCAGCGGACATGAAAATGGAAGATATGGAAGCGAAACAAACGAAGGAAGATAAAAATTGGTAGTTGACTGAGTATGATAAATAGTTGGAAGTTAACATTAATAATAATATGTTAATGAAGTGGACCCTTTGCTCGAATTCAAATATGACATACTCAATAGAAACACACGGATGAAAATCAAATTCTTTCATGGTGTTCTGTTGAGTTGGACCACCCAGTTGTGGGTAAAATAATACTTGCATAAGGAGAGAAGACCCAAACAAGTCGTCCATATGAGAGAGAGAGAGAGAGAGAAAGAGAGAGAGAGAGAGACTCCAAATTGGAAGCAGCCAGCGAATGAGAAAACGAGGTACAGACTCGTAATTTGCTCTTTCTTCGTTTTTGTTCTTTCGTTTTCTTTGCTTTTCTGGGCGACCAATAAGCATACTTGCTGTAAAGTGAGGTTGCATTTTTTGTGGATTGTCAAAGCATTTCCAACCGTTCATTTCTTTTTTTTCACCAAGTCTAAGTAAGAAATAAATTATTTTTTTAATTTGATATTTCTTCTTCCAATGGTGAGCATGAAAGTAGAATTGAAAGTGGTCAACCAGTTGGTCGATCAGCCAGCCGACCAGTAAGGATAATTTTTTTATTTATTTATTACCTATTTGAATCTTTTTTGACCGGTTTGAACTTACCTATTTAAAAGAGAACCAGTCAACCAGATGGTCAACCGGCTGGTTGACCGGTTGGTCTCCTCCAATAGTCACGCACAGTAATTTGGTAAAACATGTATTTTGTTATCAGTTTGATGATTTTTTTGTTCAATTCTCATTTTGATACCAATTTGATAAAACCGTTGGAGCTCCAAAAAGTACATTTTTCACCAAATTTCAAATTTGATACTAGATTTACTTAACCGTTGGAGATGATCTTAGATTATAAGATAGGTGAGAAAATAATGAATTTTTAAATTTTTGGTGAATGATTTGTCTTTAATCGAAATATAAAAGAGATTAATCAAAATATATGTAAATTAATCCAAATATCTTACTTAAATTTGATTTTTTTTAAAGTTTACTTGAGATTTAATTTTATAAAAATTAATAATATAATAATATTTATAACCACTTTAAAGAACATCTCAACAATGAGAAAATACAAAAATCACCCTAACTGGAAGGGCTTCGTCAAATTAATAGTTTTAATGTTACATGTCTTGTTTTCGATTAAATAAATAGAGTACAGATATATAAATAAAAAATTTATACAAAAAAATTTATATATAATGACATAACAAGTTTGTGTTCATTTATTTTCAATCAAAAATTTTCGTTAAAGTGCTTTATAATTTTTTAAATGGTTAATTACATCAGTGCTCCATATACGTTGACTATTGTATTATTTTGATTCTTACACTTTCAATTGATTTAATTTTGATATTTAATTTTAAATTTTGTATTACTTTGGTCCAATTGATAATGTCATTAGAGTTTTTAATAGACAATTATCACTAAGTTGATTAAAATTAACTCATTGAACTGATCATGTTTATAAATTTACCTTCAAAAACACATTGAAACATGCTAACAACTTTAATTAGTTAGATCAAATTGAGATAAAATTAAAAAATCAAGAGCAAAATCAAATAAATTGAAATTACAAGAATTAAAATGGTACAATAGTTAAAGTATAAGGACTATCGTGTAATTTGTCATTTCTAAAATGTTACGGTCATATCATTATTGTGAGACTTTTTGTAAGTAATATACTTTTAAATGCACTTGGTAACAAAAATACTATTTTAATTTTTTTCATCAAAATAATTTATAATATTTTTTAGTATAATTGATTCAAAACATTTACGCTATCCTGTTCGTAATTACAATTGATTCAAAACATTTACGCTATGCTGTTCGTAATTACAATAATTATTTGCATACCTATGTCTTAAAACGTGTTGTCCACTGAGGGTAGGCTGATTATGAGAAAATTCTAGCATGTGGCCGACTTTTAATGTTTAATAACACATTCAAAAAAAAAAAAATACACATTCAAAGTCTAGTCATATAATTCTGAGTTGATTAAAAAAAATGAAAATAAGTTTGGTGGGTTGTTGGGGGTAGTGATCACCATGGTGGGAAATTGAGTAGGTATTTGATATATACTAAAAAAGTATATTATATTTATATATATATATATATTTATTTGGGTTATATCAATTAATATTTATCAATATCTTCTCTTTATTTTTCTATTAATTTTTTATATATTTTTTTAATAAAAAATCAAAAAATACATTTATTTAGAACATTCCGAACCACCCTTAAAAGTTGTTGGATGTGGAGAAGGGAGGAAGGAAAGAGATAACGGGATGATTAATATAGTTGTTAAAATAAATTATAAATTATAACTTAACAAATTATAGATTATGATTTCAATCAGAAATTGTTAATTTATTTTGTGCAGTTATTAAATTGTAGATTTAAGTTGTTGAGTAGTATGTAGTAAATAAGTTGTGAAATAACTTTTTGATGTGTCCTTTTTATCCTTCTTAATTATAAATTGAATTAATTTTTATTTTTTGTTATTAATTACTAGTTCATATATTTCCATAAAATAAAAACAAAAACAAACAAACAAACAAAAAATTAGTCCACAGTCCATTTCAAAGACTGTTTGAAATAAGTTTAATCAAATAGTCCGAAATAACTTTTCCAAAGTTGGAATCTATGAGTTGCCTTAAAAAAGCCACACTAAACACCCCCAATGAAAAGGGCAAATTATGCTTATAGTTCATATATTTTAGTCTTTGTGTTATTTTGGTCCTATAATTTTAATTTACTCGATTTTGATCATGAATTTATGATTTTGTCTCAATTTAATCTAATTGCTTATAGGGAATGGCTTCTGTCCAGTTCTTAATCGGACTGGACCGTGCTGTTGGGCCAGTGGAGACCCACCACGGGTCCCGTTTTGATAATCTGAACCGTTCAATGTGTAGAACTCGTCGAGTACTATATGCTTGAACAAAAACACGTTGATCGGATATCGATAGCTATGTGATCAAAATAGATTTTTGTCAACCGTTAATTTATTCACCGTCCATTTTTTTTTATACAAAACTAATTTGATCACATAGTTATCGATATTCAATTAACGTGATTTTTTCCAGTCATATAGTACTCGACGATTTCTACATATTGAACGGTTCAGATTATCAAAACGGGACCCGTGGTGGGCCCTCATAGGGCCAACAGCACGGTCCAGTTCGATTAAGGACTGGACAGAAGCCATGTCCTTGCTTATAAGGGTCCCGTTTTGATAATCTGAACCGTTCAATGTGTAGAACTCGTCGAGTACTATATGCTTGAACAAAAACACGTTGATCGGATATCGATAGCTATGTGATCAAAATAGATTTTTGTCAACCGTTAATTTATTCACCGTCCATTTTTTTTTATACAAAACTGATTTGATCACATAGTTATCGATATTCGATTAACGTGATTTTTTCCAGGCATATAGTACTCGACGATTTCTACATATTGAACGGTTCAGATTATCAAAACGGGACCCATGGTGGGCCCCCATAAGGCCAACAGCACGGTCCAGTTCGATTAAGGACTGGACAGAAGCCATGCCCTTGCTTATAATTGTTAACATTTTTTAATGAAAAATATGCACATACGTGATATGTGTTATGTTTTTCAAGGTAAAATTATAAACGTGTTCAACTCAGTGAGTTAACTTTAACTAATTTAATGATAATTAGTCATAAAAAATACTAACGGCATTATTAATTAGATTAAAGTGACAAAAAATTTAAAATTAATGGTCAAAATTAAACAAATTAAAAGTGTAGAGATTAAAATGACACAATAAATAAAATATAAGGACTATTGATGTAATTTGTCCTAATGAAAACTTATTTTGATAATAAAAGTGAAAGTATATATTTTTTTCAAAGATGAAATTCACTCAAATCAACTCATTTTTTATTAATTGCAAAACAGTTTTTATTTTTTATTTTTTACTTTTTTTTTTTGATCACAGAAAATAATGCTCTAAGGTGTCATCACGGCATCCGTGGGCTCAGGCCCCTCGGTAATTGCTTACCAGCCTGATTTAACTCAACCTATAGGAAGAGACCTACCACCGGCCCAGACCCCGGAGTAACCGGTTACTAGCTTAATTTAACTCAACCCATAAGAAGGAATCTACCACCAAGACACCAGCGGAGTACAGAGCGAGATCTCTGCAGAGAACCACTGAAATTATCTAGCATTTTGCTCCCCCAAGAGTCAAAGCTGAGTCACGCTTATAGAAAAAGACGTCTTCTCTACTAGGCTAGCATCACCAGTGATTGCAAAACAGTTTTTCTTGATTTTTGTTTTCATCATACCAAATATTAGAAAAAACATGGCACATAAGTCCCAAAAAAAATCATTAATTCATCAAGTCTCATACGTAGTGAAAAAGGTTTATTGCAAAAGTAAAGTTTAAATAGAAGAGTGGCAAAGAGAGGAAGGGCAGACACTGGTTTCACAAAGAAGACAGTTGTGAAGGAGTAATGTCAGGTCAGGTATGCACACCTTGTTCGTAGATAACATCCCAGAATCAATGGATCCTAAAGGGCTCTATAATCTTTTTACCAATTTTGGAATCGTTAAGGATGCTTTCATACCGAACAAAAGAAGGAAAACAACGCAGTCAAGGTTTGGGTTTGTTAGGTATGATTGCATGGTGGTAGCTTAAGTAGCTATCCAAAAAGAAAATGGGATTTGGTGTGATGACCGATCACTAATCGTCAAGAAAGCAGAGTTTGAAAAGACTCAGGAGAAAGCTGTAAAGGAGCAAATGCCACACGGACCACGATCATTGAGGATGGTAAATGGTTCAAAGCCTATGAGAAGAAGATCATATGCAGAGGTGGTAAAAGGTGAAAGAAATAATAAAACAAATGTTGCAATTAAAGCCATTGAAGTCAGTAATAGCTGGCCGTACCAGAGCATAATTGTCAAACTTAAGGCTCACTGCTTCTTCATGAAATTCAGGAAGGAGTTTTGGGACAGAAATCTAAAGAATATTCAGCTACGTGAAGAAGAGACATGGAGGCCATTGTAACTTTTAATTCAATTGATGACATGAAAAATAGAAGCCACATCTTGGGGGATTGGATGAATGACTGGTGCGAGTCTATAATAGAATGGAGGAAAGGCCTTCAAATGGAACAAGAGGGGCATATATTGTAACGCCCCAAAAATTTGGGCAGGGTATATCTATTTATACAACAAACCCACCTGATAAACAAACACATATTTATGGCTAACTATTCCACACATCCATTT